CTGCATTTAGGGTGGGATTAATCAAAAACAATCAACATAGTTTGTTAAGGGGAGATCATGTCTGACCAACTAGATTGAACTTTTTGAAGAAGTCATTGGGTGTGTAGATGAGGACAATACTTTTGATGTAGTCTTCTTGGTCTTCAGCAAGGCTTTTGATAAGGTCCCACATGGGAGACCGATAACAAAGGTAAAAGCCCATGGAATCCAAGGAAATTTGGCAAAATGAAGCCATGATTAGTTGTTTGGCAGGATGCAGAAGGTGATGGTTGCAGGGTGCTTTTTTGACTGGAAGTCTGTGACCAGTGGGTTCCTGCAGGGATCAGTTTGAGGCCCTTGCTGTTTGTTGTTTATATATATGAGTTAGACTTGAATACAAGAGGCTTGATCAATAAGTTTGCAGATGATACAAAAATTGGTGGGTTGGTAAATAGTGAGGAGGATTGCCCTAGACTGCAAAAGGTCTGGTCTGATGGGCTGATCAGTGGCAAATGAAATTCAATCAGGGTAAATGTGAGGTGAAGCACTTGGACAGGACAAACAAGGCAAGGGAAAACATGATGAATGGTAGGAACCGAGGATGCATTGAGGATCAGAGTGACCTTGGTGTGCATGTCCACCAGTCCCATAAAGTATCAAGACAGATAGGTAAAGTGGTTAAGAAGGCACATGGAATTCTTGTCTTTATTAGCCGAGGCATTAAGTTTAAGAACAGGGAGGTTATGCTGGAACTGTATATGAATTTGGTTAGGCCACAGCCTGAGTATTGTGTGGGAGTTCTTGAACCACATGATAGGAGAGAAGAGATAGCACTGGAAAGGATGCAGAGGAGATTTACCAGAATGTAACCTGGTTTGGAGAATTTTAGTTATGAAGAGAGATTAGACAGACTGGGATTGATTTCCTTGGAGCCAAGGAGATTGAGAGAGGATTATGACTAAGATGTCTAAAATAGTGTGGGTTTAGATAGCGTAGACAGGAATGCACTTTTCCTCTCGATGGAGGGATCAAACAGCAGGGCATAGATTTAGGTTAAGGGGCAGGAGGTCTGGAGGAGATGTGAGGAAAAATGTTTTCAGCCAGAGGGTGGTTAGTATCTGGAACTCACTGCCAATAAGGGTGATAGAGGCAGAAAGCCTCATGACATTTAAGAATGTCTAGATAAGCACTTGTACAAGAAGGATTGATTGCATCTAAATTAGAAGGTCCCCAAAATCCTTACAGGGAAGTTTGCTAGTGAGACCAGGGAAGATTAAAATCAAGCGGGTATCTAGGGAAAGGGTAAGTCCACTCAGGGACAAAAGAGGGAATTTATGCTTGAAGTCAAAGGGAATGGGTGAGGTGCTTAATGAGTATTTTGCTTCGGTATTCACCAAGAAGGACATGGATGATGGTAAGACATGGGAAGAGTATGTCAACATTCTAGGGCATGTCTATATTAGGGAGGAGGTGGTGTTGGTGTTTTTAAAAATACATTTAAGGTAGATAAGTTCCCAGCATACTGAAGGAGGCAAGGGGGAAGATTGCTGGGGCCTTGACAGAGACCTTTGTATCCTCTTTAACCACAGAAGATTGGAGATTAGCCAGTGTTGTTCCTTTGTTTAAGAAGGCCAACAGGGATAATTCAGAAAATTTTAGGCCAGTGAGCCTTACATCTGTGGTAGGGAAGTTATTGGAGAAGATTCTTAGATACATGATTTACTTGCATTTGGAAAAGAAATGACTTATTAGGGATAGTCAGCATGACTTTATGCAGGGGAGGTCTTGTCTCAAATTTGATTGAGTTTTTTGGGGAAATTAAAAAGATGATTGATGAGGGTAAGACAGTGGATGCTGTCCTCATGAACTTTGCTAAAGCATTTGACGAGATCCCTGATGGTAGGCTGGTCCAGAAGATTACATCACATGGGATCAATGGTGAATTGGTAAGTGGGATACAAAACTGGCTTGTTCATAGAAGACAGAGGGTAGTTTTGAAGGCTGTTTTTCTGACTGGAAGTCTGTGACCAGTGGTGTTGCACAACCTCTGGAATCTCTGTTGCTTATAATATGTAGAAATGATTTGGATGAAAATGTAGAACGTCTGATTAGAAAGTTTGCAGACGACATGAAAATTGGTGGAGTTGTGGATAGTGAGGAAGTTTGTCAAAGGATACGGCATTATATTGATCAGTTGGCAAGTTGGGCAGAGAAATTGCAGATGGAATTTAATCTGGACAAGTAATACATTTTGGGAGGTCAATTACAAGAGGAAGGTATACTATAAATGGTAGGATCCTTAGGAGCATTAATATACAGTGGGATCTTGGGGTGCAAGTCCATAGCTCCCTGAAAGCGGACAAAGTGGTAAAGAAGCTGTATGACACGTCTGCCTTCCTCAGTTGGGGCATTAAGTATAAAAGTTGGTAAGCCAAGTTGCAGCTGTATAAAACTTTAGTTAGGCCAGATTTGGAATATTGTACGCAGTTCTGGTTGCCACACAATAGGAAGGATGTGAAGGCTTTGGAGAGGGTGCAAAAGAGGTTTACCAGGATGTTGCCTGGATTGGAATTATAAGGAGAGGTTGTTTTCACTGGAGCATCAAAGGCTGAGGGGTGATCTAACAGAAGTATATAAAATTATGAGGGGAATAGATAGGGTGGACAGTCAAAGTCTTTTTCCCAGGGTGGAAACGTCAGATACTACGAGCATAGTTTATGGTGAGGGGGAAACATTTAAAGGAGATTTGTGGGGCAAGTTTTTAAACAGAGGGTGGTAGGTGCCTGGAACATGCTTCCATGGGAGGTGGTGGAAGCAAATACATTAGCAATGTTTAAGAGGCTCTTAGATAAACTCATAAACAGGCTTGGAATAGAGGAGATACGGACCTTGCGCAGGCAGATCGGATTAGTTTAGAATGGCATCATGGTCAGTACAGTAAATGGAAAAGCCCTGGGGAAAATTGATGCACAGAGAGATCTGGGTGTTCAGGTCCATTGTACCCTGAAGGTGGCAACGCAGGTCGATAGAGTGGTCAAGAAGGCATACGACATGCTTTCTTTCATCGGACAGGGTATTGAGTACAAGAGTTGGCAGGTCATGTTACAGTTGTAGAGGACTTTGGTTCGACCACATTTGGAATACTGCGTACAGTTCTGGTCTCCACATTACCAAAAGGATGTGGATGCTTTGGAGCGGGTGTAGAGGAGGTTCACCAGGATGTTGCTTGGTATGGAGGGTGCTAGCTATGAAGAGAGGTTGAGTAGATTAGGATTATGTAGACGGAGGTTGAGGGAGGACCTGATTGAGGTCTACAAAATCATGAGAGGTATAGACAGGGTGGATAGCAAGAAGCTTTTTCCCAGAGTGGGTGACTCAGTTACTAGGGGTCACGATTTCAAGGTGAGAGGGGAAAAGTTAAAGGGAGATATGCGTGGAAAGTTCTTTACGCAGAGGGTGGTGGGTGCCTGGAACGCGTTGCCAGTGGAAGTGGTAGAGGCAGGCACGATAGCGTCATTTAAGATGTATCTAGGCAGATACATGAATGCGCAGGGAGCAGAGGGATACAGATCCTTGGAAAATAGGCAACAGGTTTAGATAGAGGATCTGGATCGGCGCAGGCTTGGAGGGCCGAAGGGCCTGTTCCTGTGCTGTAATTTTCTTTGTTCTTTGTTCTTAGTACAGACATAGATGATGAACTGAAGGGTATGAACCTGTACTGTACTGTTCTATGACCCATATTCTATGTTGTGGTGCCAAGGCATACAAAGCTGTGGGCAAAGTGCTGGGAAATGGTATTCAAATAGCTAAGTGGTTGTTTTTGACTGGCACAGGTATGATGGGCCGCAGGGCCTCATTCTGTATTATAGATGTCTGTGACTCTATTGGCATGCAACAACGATATGCAGGCATCTCCCATTCATCAAAATGGAGTTTGGGACCTGGAACATTATGATATTCGGGCACAGTCCCAATAGTGACAGACTTAAGCACACAACCTTCATAGCTCAGAAACTGAGGTAAATCCTGAAGTGAGGATGTAACTGGAGGAAAAAAACCAACTGAAGGAACAAGGTAGCATGTGGTCAAGCCTTCAAACACCATCCACCCTGCATATGGCAGTCTGCAGACCAGGCTTTGGACTAATTGGCCATCTCAGACCTGTTGAGAAACCTGGGGAAGAAACAAGTCTTCCATGAGCTAGAGTGTGACTGCGGGTCTTCCCATTCAGAGTTTGATTTTAGTGGTGACAGGAAGATGGCAGGATTTAGATATGTCACTATCCCACCCAACCACGTGCCCAAGCTCAGCATCTTCAGGAGCAGAAGATTCTTTATTCATCAGATTTATTAGCAGTGGGATTGATTACAAAAGGAAGGAACTTATTCTGAACCTTTGTAAAACATGCTCGCCAATATTGTCAGTGGACCTCTCTCTCAACCTGCAGGATCATTCCTCTTGGAAACCCAATCTTGTCCCCAATGTCCTTCCAAACGTTTGCTCCCTCTCCAACTCCTATTCCTGTCTGATGCCCTCAAATATTTTGGCAGCTCGCAAATTTGTTCCTGTCTTTTTGAGAGCTCCAAGTTTGAATCCCTCCAATCAGATTTCCGTCCCTTCCACAGTACCAAAACTATTCAAAAGCTTTCCTGGCTGCCCTTTGGAAACTGGAGGTTCTGGAAAGACTCTGCTGTTCTTGTCTGCACCCATTATCCCTGTGCTCCTGACCTAGGCCCCCAGTTAACCATCAATTTTAAATTTTTTATCTCAGATCTTCCCTGTTGCTCTCCTCTGCCACTTTCAACAGCATCAAACCCAAGCTTCCTTCACCTGTGGATGAGAGTCATATTCAGCTGAAAGCATTAACTTTGTTTCTCTTCAGATTCCCTCACCCCATCCCCACCCATAGAATCCCTCCTCTGGGTATCTGACATATTCCACATGTATTTTTGAACATTTATTTGGAGCAGTGTTCTACTCTATATCTTCGTCAGAACTCATTGCAGTATTTCTTTTTGTAGCCATGCCATTTGCTTTCTGTACCAGAGAAAAATTGCCGTGGACAGAATTTGCTGAATCTGCGGAAGATGGTCCAACAACACGGTTTTGCCAAGAGGTGAGTAGTTTCCCCAAGTTACGGAGAACCTTTTACATGGTTTTGATAGAAAACGTTAAGAACTGCATAGTGTTTGATTGTAAAGAAATTCTATAAGGCACTGAACGAGTGACATCAATAGACATGTTCTTAACACAATCACAGAAAGTGAACATAGAACATAGAACATTACAGTGCAGTACAGGCCCTTCGGCCCTCGATGTTGCGCCGACCTGTGAAACCAATCTGAAGCCCATCTAACCTAAACTATTCCATTATCATCCATATGTTTATCCAATGACCATTTAAATGCCCTTAAAGTTGGCGAGTCTACTACTTTTGCAGGCAGGGCATTCCACACCTTTACTACTCTCTGAGTAAAGAACCTACCTCTGACATCTGTCCTATATCTATCACCCCTCAATTTAAAGCTATGTCCCCTCGTGCTAGCCATCACCATCCGAGGAAAAAGGTTCTCACTGTCCACCTTATCTAATCCTCTGATCATCTTGTATGTCTCTATTAAGTCATCTCTTAACCTTCTTCTCTCTAACGAAAACAGCCTCAAGTCCCTCAGCCTTTCCTCATAAGATATAGGTACAATTCCTTAATCTAGGAATTAGGTCATAAGGAGCTTCTTAAAAAGGAGGGAGATGTGGAGAAATGTGAGAGGAAACTCTAGTTTGGGGCAAAGCTGCCAAAATCATGGGCACCAGTTGTCGAATGAATCAAATCAGGTTTGAGAATTAGAGCAGTGTAGGTTTCTCAAATGGAAGGGCTGGTGAAAATTACGCAGATAGGGATTACACAGGATATCAGAGCCAAAAAACTAGTGCGAGTAAGAGTGAGAGGTCAGTCAACAGCTAACCCCAATGCAAATATTGCCTGTATGTAAAAAAAAATATCTGCAGACACTTGATCAGTTGATAGTGTGTAGGTTGCAGCCTTAAAGTGGAGAAAAGCATGAAGGAAAGTTAAGAGTTCCATCTTTAACAAAACTGAATTTTTTTACTTGGCTTAAATTTAGGATAAGAGTATTTTAGGTATGACAGGGGAGCTCCTGTGTGTTGCATGGCCTGCAGTGTGTGGGGAATCTCAGACATTCTTGGCAGCCTGGATGACCACATCCGCAGGAAGTGCCACCAGTTTGTTCAGTCTGAGCACTTTGGAGTTTCAGCATTGGCTGGAGGTGCAGCTGTACGACCGCAAGGCTGGGAATTAAGTGAATAGCATGTCTTTAGATGTGGTCACCCCACCAGCCTAAGAAAGTACAATTAGAGAGGGAATGGGTGACTATCAGTCAGAAGAAGGAAGTTAGGCAGGTAGGAGGAATGTCACAAAGAGCATCTCACTCAAGGACAATTTTTCTGCGTTAGAAAACGGTGAGCATGACAGGTCCTCTGGGGAGTGCAGCCAGATGCCCAGCTGTAGAAGGAGAGGAAGAAAAATAGGAGATTCAATTGTAGAGACATGACTTGATGATGGTGTGCTGGCTCTCTGTGGCAGGGGCAAGGATGTGACTGAATGGCCGTGGAGCATTGTGAAGGGGAACAGTGAACAGTCAGAGATCGTAGTTCACATTGGGCCCAATGATATTGATAGAAACAAGTATGTGTCATGCAACAAGAATTTAGGGAGGTAGGTGGCAAATTGAAAAGTAGGAACTCTAAGGTTGTAATCTCTGGATTACTTGCAGTGCTAGAGAGTTGAAGTAGGGGAGAAGGCTTTAGATTCCTGGATCTTTGGGACTGTTTCTGAGAAAGGTTGATCCTGTAGAAGCCTGTTGAGCTGCACTAAAATCAAAAGGGGATTGACATCCTGCTGTGAGTATGTGTGGGCAATGGTTGGTGTTATTGAGGAATTTAAGTTAATTTGGCAGTGGGGAATGATGCACAGATAATGGAAGGGTTTGCAGCCATGTAAACATTCAGTCCCAGAGAGAAAGAGAGTAAGAGGGAGTTATCACTGCCATTGTGAATATTGAGTAAAGTAACATCCCACTTCTGACCTTATGACAGAGGGAAAGTCATTGATGAAGCAGCTGAAGGTGGTTGGGCATAGGACACTACCCTGAGGAACTCCTGCAGTGATGTCCTGGAGCTGAGATGATTGACCTCCCACAACCACGACCATCTTCCTATGTTTCAGGAATGACTCCAACCACTGGAGCGTTTGTCCCCTGATACCCATTGATTCCAGTTTTGCTAGGACTCCTTGATACCACACTTGGTTGAATGCAGCCTTGATATCAAGGGCCGTCACTCTCACCTCACCTCTGGAATTCAGCTCTTTTGTCCATGTTTGAACCAAGGCTGTAATGAGGTCAGGAGCTGAGTGGTCCTGGCGGAACCCAAACTGGGTGTCACTGAGCAGGTTATTTCTGAGCAGGTGCTGCTTGATAGCACTGTTGATGACACCTTCCATCACTTTACTGATGATGGAGAGGAGACTAATGGGACAGTAATTGGCCAGGTTGGATTTGTCCTGCTTTTTGTGTACAGGATATACTTGGGCAATTTTCCACATTATTGGGTAGATACCAGTGTTGTAACTGTACTGGAACAGCTTGGCTAGGGGAGCGGCAAGTTCTGTAGCACAAGTCTTCAGTACTATTGCCGGAATGTTGCCAGGGTGTGTAGCCTTTGCATTATCCAGTGTCTTCAACCGTTTCTTGATATCACGTGGAGTGAATCGAATTGGCTGAAGACTGGTATCTGTAATGCTGGGGAGGCTGAGATGGATCGTCCACTCGGCACTTCTGGCTGAAGATTGCTGCGAATGCTTCAGCCTTATCTTTTGCACTGATGTGCTGGGCTCTTCCATCATTGAGGATGGGGATATTTGTGGAGCCTCCTCCTCCAGTGAGTTGATTAATTGTCCACCACCATTCACGACTGGATGTGGCAGGACTGCAGAGCTTAGATCTGATCCGTTGGTTGTGGGATTGCTTAGCTCTGTCTATTACTTGCTGCTTTCGCTGTTTGGCATGCAAGTAGTCCTGTTTGGTGGCTTCATCAGGTTGATACCTCATCTTAAGGTATGCCTGGTGCTGCTGCTGGCATGCCCTCCTGCAATCTCTATTGAACTAGGGTTGATCCCCTGGCTTGATGATAATGGTTGAGTGGGGGATATGCCGGGCCATGAGGTTACGGATTTTGTTGGAGTACAGTTCTGCTGCTGTTGATGGCCCACAGTGCCTCATGGATGCCCAGTCTTGAGTTGCTAGATCTGCGCGAAGTCTGACCCACTTAGCACGGTGATAGTGCCACACAACACGGTGGAGGTTGTTCTCATAGTGAAGGTAGGACTTCGTCTCCACAAGGACTGTGCGATGGTCACTCTTACCTATACTGTCATGGACAGATGGAACTGCAGCTGGCAGATTTGTAAGGATGAGGTCAAGTATGTTTTTCCCTCTTGTTGGTTTCCTCACCACCTGCCGCAGACCCAGTCTTGCAGCTATGTCCTTTAGGACCCGACCAGCTCAATCAGTAGTACTGCTGCCGAGCCACTCTTGGTGATGGACATTGAAATCCCCCACCCAGAGTACATTTTGTGCCTTTGCCATCCTCAGTGCTTCCTCTAAGTGCTGTTCAACATGGAGGAGTATGGATTCATCAGCTGAGGGAGGACGGTATGTGGTAATCAGCAGGAGGTTTCCTTGCCCATGTTTCACCTGAAGCCATGAGACTTCATGGGGTCTGGAGTCAATGTTGAGGTATCCCAGAGCAACTCCCTCCCAACTGTATACCACTGTGCCGCCCCCTTTGCTGGGTCTGTCCTGCCAGTGAGACAGGACATATCCAGGGATGGTGATGATGGTGTCTGGGACATTCTCTCCATCATAAGGTCAGTAGTGTTAGCTGATGATTGCACAATGTTCAGCACCATTCATGACTCCTCAGATACTGAACCAGTTCATGTTCAAATGCGGCAAGACTGGACAATATCCAGACTTGGGCTGAAGTGTGGCATTAAAGTTACTTGCATAAGTGCCAGGCAATGACCATCTCCAACAAGAGAGAATCTCACAATCGCTTCTTGATATTCAACGGCATTATGATCATTGAATCCTCCATTATCAACATCCTGGGGGTTACCATTAACCAGAAATTAAACTGGACCTGCCAGATAAATACAGTGGCTACAAGAGCAGGTCAGAGCTAGGAATACTGCAACAAATAACTCACCTTCAGACTCTCCAAAGCCTGTCCACATCTACAAAGCATGCTGTCCCCTTGCCTGGATGAGTGCAACTCCAACAATATTCAAGAAACTTGACACCATCCAGGACAAAGTAACCAGTTTGATTGGCATCCCATCCACAAACATCCATTCCCTCCACCATCACTGCTTTTAGCAGCAGTGTGTACTGTCTACATGATGCACTGCTACCTGCAACACTTACTTTCTATTACTCACTGGTAATACAACTTGATGAATTTCTGCCCATTTTTCATCTGCCTGAATATGTAATAGTGTCCATTTCCACATCAAGACTTCATTTTTAAGACAGTAACATTCTGGGATACACTCAGATGCTTCTTATATGTATGCTTTTTGATAAAACTGCTTTATTTTTCCATCTTTTGTTGTAATTCAACCAACCTGTCTGAGCTAAAAATATTCACTTTGTCCTCCAACTGTTCTTGTTTTTTTCTCAAAGATCAAACACATTTTCTGATAAATTGAACTTCAACTTCCTTGTCTTTCTTCTTTGATTTCTCCTTCCATTTCAACCTGTGGCTTTGTGACCTTGTTACCACATAGTCCGGAAAAATCCCAGGATATACTTCCTGTAACATCTCAGTTGCCTGATTTTCCACTGGCTTTTCAACCACAGCAGGCTTCACTCCCACCTATGATGCAGCTATATCATTCCCAAGGATAACCTGTAGCTCCAGAACAGAGAATTTCTCTATTGCTCCTACCACCACTTCGCTACTTTTCACCGACTCTCCAACCTCACTTTATACAGCGGAGCACTATTCTTCTCACCGTGAACTCCATTACCACTTTCT